AATAATATATATCTATATATATATATAATATATATATATATTATTTAGTTTATATATATATATATATATATATATTATTTGTTATATATATATATATATATATATATATTTGTTTATATATATATATATATACGCCTGTTTTCATACTTATTTAAACACATTGTGGTTGATCCTATGGTGTATGTAGTTGAAAGTAAGCACATAGAGTTCTAGTCATACGTGGCAATGGTTTGTAATAAGTCTGATCCTAATTTGCTCACTGTTTCATGGGATGCATGGGATGGCGTCATGTCTACAGGGGAATGATGAAGAAGATGCGTGATGACACGCTACACAATGTCCACAAACTCGTAGAGGATATCGCCAACTCTGAAAGCTCCGACGCAAACGAGCAAAAGGTGTGTGACTGAATGCTGTATGTTATGGATATCCCCCCGACGATTTGTAACCCGAGATAGTCTCTCCTTCAGGTTGTTGCATCTAGTCGTATGCTCGCTGCGTGTGCGTACGTATATGCAATAGTTCAGTTGTTATGTGTCTGGTAGCTATTGATAGGGGTCTACTGCGATGCACCACAGATGTTCCTCTATGCTTTTTGGAGAGTATAGCTTGATTGGGGGGTCATTGGATGGAAAATAACGGCATTATTATAGTCTAATTGGGGGGTGTCTAGCTTTGCGCTTTTGTTGCTTGAATGAGTTTTGGTTTCGTAACTGAGTGCACGAACGCCTCCTGCGCTTGTTAATCCGTTGCCGGTGCTACTCTTCCACTGGCGGCTGTTTGGCATCTACACATATATGATAGCGATGCAACCCGTCGTATTTCGGTATTTTGTATGTAAATCTCTCAGTAGCTATATCTACACGCATTATAATGCATATTACATATATATATGTGTGTGTGTGTGTTTGTGTGCGTGTGGTGTATATATATATGTATGTATGTATATATATATTGTATTTATATTTATATTTGCATATCTATTTTTATAAATACATATATAAATATATATATATTATATATAATATATATATATATGTGTATGTGTGTATGTATTTAGTGTATATGTATATGTATATATATAGTGTATATATATATATATATCTATATATATCCCCAACTCACACATGTGCTTACCGCTTGCACTTTAATTACTTTGTGTTTACACAGATCGGGATTTTTTGGCGAGCGGCGATGAACCTGGAGCGTATTGAAGAGTTTGGGTACTCTCCGCTGAAGCCTGTGTTTGAAGATATTGATCAGGCAACGAACAAGAAAGAGTTCATGGCTCTGGTCGCCAGAATTCATCGGTATGTGAGGATCTGCTTGGTATGAGGATTAGGTATTGACATATGTGTCAGTGTTTGTTGTTAGTATGTGAAGTTGTGCACTTGTAGGACAGGAGGATCCATCGCTAATATTCCATCCAGCATATATTGCAGATTGTATCTGTTTTCGATTATGTGTAGATCAGTAGTGGTAGTGGTAGTAGTAGTGGTTGTTGTTGTTGTTGTTGTAGTTGTAGTTTTAGTCTTAGTTGCTATAATTTGCAAGTCATGGCCCGTATACTTCATAGTAATCCATTGGCCGTATACTTCATAAACCATAGTCATCCTTTGGCTATCCCTGACGGGACACTCATAAGACTACCCAGAGGGATTGTACTCCATCCCATTTATTCCCAGCCTCACATAGATATAGCTTTCCCACACTCCTTCCTCGCACACACCTCTCTGGGCCCAAACATGCGCGTTTGCCCAGTCTTGGCCTGGGTATGTTCTTTATTGATATAGTCTATTCACACCCTTTCCTCCCACACACCTCTCGTGATCCTCACATGCGCGTTTGCCCAGTCTTGGCCTGGGTGTGTTTTTTGGCTTTGGACCAGAGAGTGACATGAAGGACAGTCACTCGACCATCCTGTGGGGTGGGGAGGGCAGTTTGGGCCTAGGTTCACGCGAGTACTACTTTGACGACGACAAGGTGTGTGTGTTGCCATGCCATTGGCGCGCCTCCGAGTGCGTCATGCGCGCGTGTGTGTGTGTGTGTTTGTCTGTGTCTGTGTGTATGTGTGTGTGTGTGTGTTTATTTGTTTGTTTGTGTGTGTGTGCAGTTGTGCGGTTGTTCTTTGTTTGAAGATGAACTACTGTATGCGGTATAGGTTTTGTGCGTGTGCTCAATGTAACGTTGGCTTGGCACAGTAGGGGAGTTGCAATTCAACGACACTTTCTATTCCAAAGACTGTGTAGTTAACTAGCGCTTGGGTTCCGATCTCACAGTAGAAGTTATGAGTTAGTCCAGCTAGTTTGTATGTATATATAGTGACAGTAGTTATGAGTTGGTTTAGCTAGCATGTATATGATGACAGTAGAAGTTATGAGTTAGTTCAGCTAGTTTGTATGTATACAGTGTCAGTAGTGATGAGTTGGTTTAGCTAGTATGTATATGATGACAGTACAAGTTATGAGTTAGTTCAGCTAGTTAGTATGTATATGATGACAGTGCAAGATATGAGTTAGTTTAGCTAGTTTCTATGTATACAATGACAGTAGTGATGAGTTGGTTTGGCTAGTATGTATATGATGACAGTACAAGTTATGAGTTAGTTCAGCTAGTTAGTATGTATATGATGACAGTACAAGATATGGGTTAGTTCAGCTAGTTAGCATGTATATGATGACAGTACAAGATATGAGTTAGTCTAGCTAGTTAGTATGTAAACAATGACAGTAGAAGTTATGAGTTGGTTTAGCTAGTATGTATGTGATGACTGTAGAAGTTATGAGTTAGTTCAGCTAGTTAGAATGTGTACAATTACAGTAGTTATAAGCTGGTTTAGCTAGTATGTATATGATTTCAGTAGTTAAAGGGGGGCTTAGCTACTTCGTATGTATATGATAGCGATTGTCGACATTCACTGCCACGAATATCGGAGTGGTCCTGAGACCCCCAGCCCTTCAGCTGCAGCCTCTGTGGCTGTGTCTGTGTGTATACGTCATCAACTTACATCATCATCTGATCTCAGTGTGTATACGTCATCAACTACTCTCAGTATGCATACGTCATCCACTGAATCTCCTGTGACTTCGTGCATGAAGCTTACGGGATGGACCTTTCCGTTTGGTAATGTCATCTGTGATTGACAGTTTAATACTGTCATGACATCTAGAGCTCACATACCATATGATACCATCAGGCTTACAACATGTCTTGCGATATTCCGGTTCTGTGTATCAGCGTTTGCTCTGGTTATGTATTTGCTGTCTACTTGGCCCTCATTAGGGGAGAAGTGTCACTATTTGTTG